GAGTCCCCATCCCTGGAGGTGTTAAAAAAACACATGTAGATGTGGCACTTCAGGTCACGATAGCATTGGATTGACGGTTGGACTCGATGATCTTATAGTTCTTTTCCAACCTTAATGATTCTATGATTCTAAATGGTTTTTTTATTTTTTTTTTTCTTTGATAGGTATATTGCAGTGGATCTGAAAGTGATATAAGAAAGAATTGCCACTGGGAAGAGAAGCCTCCCTGCAAGGCCAAGCCCGAAGATGTGGACTGCTGTTGTGGTTTTTCTGCTGTTTCTGTGTATGTGAACACAGGTTTTCTGTCCTGAAAGGGAGAGGAGTCCACGTCGTGCGAATAAACAGGCTTACGACAGAAGAGCAGTGCAGGCAGGCTTGTCGAGGACCTGCAGGTGAGGTTCCTGTCCCTAAGCTGGAATTCCAGCTGGATTTTCCGTTCCTTAGATGTCTCCTCTGCTCCCCTGACAGCTGTCTGTCTTGATTCCAGCTGTTTACAGGCATTTACAGTTAGGGCTTCTCTGTGGTGCTCAATAACTTCTGATGGCTTTGCTATTAAACTGAATCCAGAACAACTGTTTCCCAGGGCCCTTCTGGCTTCGCTAAAAACCAGCAGGCATGTGCACGTGGTGTTAGTGGCATCGGGTCACTCGATGGGAAGGTTGGTGGTTCCACACTGCCAGACCTTCAGAAGGAAACAGTGCTGCCATAGGCAGCTGCGCTGGAGTAAGTAGTCTTTGCTCACTGGTGTTTATGTGTGTTTTAGAAGAAACCAGTTGTATCCTGCAGCCAAGCACAGGGTTAAACAAGTCTGGGAGATAAAAGCCTTCTGCTGTCTGCCTCTGAAATGCTTTTAAAAAGCATCAAACTTCTAAATCCCCATTCAGTCCCCATGTGTTGCTTGATCTAGTTCAGATGTGTCCCTGCCCGTGACAGGGAGGTTGGATTAAATGATCTCTGAGGTCCCTTCCCGTCTAGGCCATTCTAGGATTCTATGAAATCAGTCTTTTTGAGTAGTCTTTACGAAAGAACCTGTCTTATCTCGCTGCATGTGACAGCTTGTAGCACCTACAAGCCCCTGGTGGTGCTGTGGTGAAGATGAGCCCTTGGCTCAGGTGGATGAATGTCCGACAGTCGGATGGAACCTCAGAAGGATGCCTTGCTTTAATGCCCAGTGGTTTCAAACCTTTACTTTAAACGTGAAACATCCCTTCGTAGTGGAAAGAAAGCACTTTCGTAAACTGAGCATTTTATTTTGGCGGTCAAGTGTGAGCAGATTTGTCTCCCCAGCTGCCCCTGCTTTTTAAGGGGGTATCAAGAGAGATGGAAAAGATTCCAACTCTAAACATAAATGTATAGCTGTGGGTAGAGAGATCAACTGGAGTGATGGACCTGATATTTTTGGGCTTTTTTGTAGTTTTTTTTTACGATTAACTTTAGTTTTAAGATCAGCTTTAGTGCTCTCGTTCCCCATTCCCACCTTCCCCAAGTATATTTATTTTTGTGCTTTCTCTCATTACAGACATGAGGCCTGAGGTGTCGGTGTCAGAATAGTTACACCTATGTAGTTGTCAGTAAAGTGGTTGTTATTTTTTAAGGTATTGTATGTTAAGCTTCAGGCCAAGGTTGCATGGCAAGACGTCGTCATAGCTACATCGCTTGGAGAAGGGGAAAAATAACATTCTGAGCTGGTTGGGCTCTCTCCTGTAGATGAACTTTATACCCTTGCTAGATGTAGCATTGCCGCTACCTTAGAGAAGCAGTGCGGGTATCGCAGAAAGAACAGCTTTTGCCAGTATAGAATCATAGAATCGTAGAACAGTTTTGGCTGTTTTTTCCTGTAAAACAGCCCCTCAGACGTTGAGTGTACCCCCATGAGCTCACTACACACTGCTCTTGTGTGCTGCGGAGCCCAAAACTGAACATGGTGGTTGAGATGCCTCCTCAGTGCTGGTCAGAGGCTGGTTATGTGTCGGTAGACGTGCCCAGAGAGAAGTTTGTGAGTTTGAAGGGATGCCAGGAGAGGGTTCCTGCTGTGATGAGCTCATTTAGCTTGCGTTGGGGTCTGCTTCACTAGAAGACAATTTCTGTGGTGGCTCCTGCGGCTGATAGTGTCATTGTTCAGGTAACTAAGAATAAACTTCCGTGTGACTCCACGCACCAAGCCGAGAGCTGTCACCCCTGGGTGGTGAGATCAGCGTCTTCTCAGTTTCGCCTCGATTTGTTAAATCATCTGGAGGAATGAGGAGCCTTTAGATGGGCCCAGACTGTAGCGCTCTCTTTGTCCCTGTCTGGGTGGGAGGGAATTGTTCTTCTTAGGAGATGGTGGCACCGGAGGACAAGCAGGTCGGCAGGCTCCCCCTGCGCTACTGATTTCATTGGCTTTCCAGTTATTTTCACTGAAGCCGAGTCAGGATCGTTTAAGACCTCACCATCCTGCTGTGGATTTGGGTTTTTTTCTTTCTTTCTTTCTTTCTTTGCTTAGAGCCACAACGCAGCGCTCCAGCACCCGTGTGTAGCAACTCGTTTTCTCTGCTGCTTTCAGGTGCCTGTGGCTGTAACTGGTCTGTGCCCTACCGGAATCACTGCCTCCTCTTGCGGTGTCACCAGCTGAACGTCTGCCGGAATGCTGGGGAAGAGGACATCGAAGATCTGCTTGCAGGTAACGCCATGCTTCAGGCTCCTGCTATATCCGGGGTCCTGGTTCTTCTGCTCCGAATGTTTAGACCTTGGCTGGCTCGCAGCTGCGTGGGGCTGCAGGTGAAGTTGGTTCGCTGGCCTGGTGAGGGCTCTGGCGCTCACACGTCTGTGATGTCTTGTGGAGAAACTTCTGTAACTGTTGCCGAGTAATAGCTTGTCTCCGTGTCGAAGACATCATTCATTCAAGCCATTTGCACGCCACACGCTGTCCTTCGGGAAGTAAAGATGTTACAGAAGTATTTTTACTTTTTAAGAGAAAGGAGAATGTCTTGGCGTTGTTTTTTTTCAGAGCTTGCCAGGACTTTGTGCCAGAGGCAGCAGGCGGCTTCCATAATTGGCGCAGCCTTAGCAGCAATAGCTCCTGGGGACTTTCCAGTACCATGGTCTTCAATTTTAATTCAGTGACATGGTAATAAAATGGAGCTTGTTGGTAATTGGGGAATCAGTCTTCTACAGCACATTTCAAGAGTTCACTGTACCCAAGTTCAGAAAAAAAAAAAAGAAGTTTGTTCATGGTTCTTTTTGGTTGGCAAAGGTTTCTCTGCAACATAGCAACCAGACCTTTGATAAGCAACCAGACCTTTGATAAGCAGATGGGATTTACGTCACTGTACCTCTAGATCACTAGAAGGAAATTCTCCCAAAGCGTGAAGGTGTAAGTGGAAACTTCCACTCAGTTTTGAGAGGTGAATATTAGGGATTTTCACTAAGGCTTTGCCAGTGCTGTATAACTTTGAACGTATGGGTCGTCTTCTCAGGAGCTGGCGCTCGTAACGGCTGCTCCTGTTGATCATGTGCTTCTGCGTTGTAGCTCTGTACTTCATTATCCCCCTTTTTTGTGGAATTAATTCCCTGGCTGGGCAAATGCCAGAGGTCTGTGGCAGAAACCAAACAAATGAACAAACAAACGAATAAAACAGAACACAGAAAAACCCCAAAGGGATTGTGTGCATTAGAGGCAGGGGTCTGAGTTTTCGTATTCCTTCTGACTTCAGGACTGATTTATTCAAGTTTTACTATGTCTCCTGCAGAATACATGTTCTGGTTTGCGTGTTGGGGGCATGAGGTCAGATTTGAGCTCAGGAGTTTTATTCTTATGAAACTCATGGGTTTTGTCTTTTTGAAGAAATTGACAGTGAGAGAAGAACAGTCCTGCTTCACCACCAGAGCTATCCACAGAGAACGAAGCGGATGGTGAATGCACGGGTTGGCCGACACAACGTGGAAAGCCTGTTTTCCTCAACTGCTCAGACTCATAAGATCCACTTGAGGAATTTGGCCAAGACAGAGAGTGAAAATGTCACAATAAATGCAACAAAAACATTTGTAAGCAATGCTACTGCTGCCGGAG